CACCTCCAGGCACAGCACCTCCCGGCTCAGCACCCCCAGGCTCCGCACCCACCGCAGTAGCACCCTCAGGCCCAGCACCCCCAGCAGTAGTACCCCCAGGCTCAGCACCCCCGCGCACAGTACCCCCAGAGTCAGCACCCCCAGGCTCAGCACCCGCAGCAGCACCAGAGTCACCAGTAACCTCGACCGGGTCAACGGCGTCTACCTGGGACACACCTGAGGGGGCAGGAACCTGAGGGGGGAGGGGGTCTACCGGGGGGGGAACCGGCACAAGGAAGTCCGGGGGAGGGGGGAGGGAAGGAGTGCGGTAGGGGAAGAGACGGTAGAAGGGGACTGACTCGTCGAACGTGACGTCCTGGGAGGACAGAACACGACGAGAGGAGGGGTGGTAAAACTGCCACCCTGGGGCGTCAGTGGGGAAGCCAAGGAAGACACAGGGAGCAGCACGAGGGGACAGCTTGTCCGCAGACAAGTCGCGGACAAACGCCCGAGATCCCCAGACACGGAACACAGACGCATCGCCAACCTTCCCCGTCCACAGCAAGACTGGGGACATCGCAGGCCGAGAGACCCGGGGGTGAAGGTTGAGCTGATGCGCCGCGTACCTCACCGCAAACGGCCACAGAAAATGGGGGGCAGCCGCATGCATCATGGACGTACGAGCGACATCCATGACCATGCCAATGCGGCGCTCAGCAATCCCATTTTGCTGTGGTGAGTCCGGAAGCGTGAAGGTCTGGCGGATCCCCCGTGCACGACAGTAGTCTCGCAGAAGGCGAGAAGAGAACTCTCCGCCTCTGTCAGAGTGCAGACGCAGAACAGGAAAGTCCGAGCCGAAGCTCTTCCTGAGCTGGAGACGAGCCTCGCGGATCCAGTCGATCAGCACCTCAGTGACCGCACCCTTGCTGCGCAAGGGGAGGACTGTGGTGTAACGCGAGTAGTCGTCAACCACCAACAGGAAGTAGCGCTCGTAACCCTGCCCACGGACGGGGGCAGGGCCCCACACATCCATGTGAAGCGTCTGCAGGGGAGCCTCTGTCGGGGGGAAGTGGGAGGAGTGAGGAGTAGCCCGGAGGCGACCCTCGACACAGGGGACACAGGAAGGTCCTGGCCCGGAGGGGAGAGGAGGGAGAGACTGGGGAAGACCGGAGACAAGGACACGGGAAGCCATGCTCCGAAGACGGGGCAAGGAGGGGTGGCCAAGACGGTGGTGCCACAGGAGAGTCTCGTGAGACAGGAGGCGACAAGAACAGGGGGCAGACTCAGGACCTGACCGGGACGCAGCAGCAAGTACCTGACCCGACGCAGCCACCTGACCAGACGCAGGGACAAGAGGAGACTCAACGGTCAGGGTGTAGAGACTCGACCCCGGCCGACGCGAGAACGTGGCCAGGTGTCGGCCTGTGCGTGCCTCCGTGCAGTGGGTCACTCGCTGACTCGCAGGAGTGAACTGGTGAACACCCCCATCCTGTAGGTCCGCTCCACTCACCAAGTTCGTAGAGAACGAGGGAAGGTACAGACCCGACAGGGTGCCCGAAGGGGCAGCCGGACACGGGAGGACAGTGGAGAAGTGAGACAGGACAGGACCCCCAGAGGGGTCAGCAAGGGAGACTGCAACCGGCCGGCCGAGCGGCGTAAGGGTAGTGCGGTCGCGAAAGAAGGAGCGAGAAGCTCCGGAGTCAAGTGTGAAAGTGAGGGAGGACGAGGACGACTCAGTACCTGAGAGCGCAGTCTCACCAGTACCTGAGAGCGCAGACGCACTGGCACCTAGAGCAGCAGCCTCACAAGCACCTAGCGCAGCAGTACCAATGCCCGGGTCGGGCTGGAAACAGCGGTAACCCTCATTCTCCTCACTATAATCCACAACATACATAGCAGTAAGGATAGCATCAAAATCAAGATCAAAGATCGCTACACCAGCCCTGAGAAGCTCATCCCAGCGAGGGATCTCACTAGCCCCAGGGAACTGCTGACGCCAGGCGTCCGTCAGGCGGCCAAAGCAGCGCTGGGTGGCGTGGGCACCCCCACACTGCTCACCCGCGCGGTCGCCGGAACGAAGAACGTAGGTGCAGGGACCAGTACCCCCACCCCTCTGACGCCCAGCGTACCACTCACGAAGCTGCTGAGGCGAAGGGATGTCCCGAGAGCGCTGCTGCTGCTGCCGCTGCGAGCGCTGGCCACCACCACCGCCGCTACGCTGCTGGGTACCACCCCGACCAGCTCCACCCCCTCCACCACCACTGCCTCCTCCGCTGCCGCCTCCACCGCCTCCACCTCCGCCGCCTCCACCTCCGCCGCTGCCTCCACCACCACCGCTGGCACCACCACCACCGTCTCCGCCGCTGCTGCCACCACCACCACCACCCCCGCCACTAGTCCCGCCGCCACCCCCACTCCCTCCGCCGCCACCGCCGCCACCGCCACCGCCCCCTCCAGCTCCACTCCCGCGCCCTTGCCCCCCTTGCCCTTGCTGGAGCAACGTCTCCCACTAGGGGCAGACGCCGCGCCGACCGACTCAAGACCAAGCAGGTCGGCAGCAGCAGCAGAGGCAACAGAGGGCAGCAAGGGGGAAGGAGAGCACCCCTCAAAGATGGGGGTGCGAGGGTCACCACGAGAAGCACCTACAGCGACTATGCTCTTCTCCGCTGCGAGGAGGGCCTTCTCGAGGAGGTCGACGGTGAGGGTGGTGGGACAGACTGCGAGAAAGTGGTCCCTGACGACTCGAAGGGAGTCAGGGAGGCGCGCGACTACGTAGTAGAGAGCGATGTACATGGGGGGGGGGTTCTTAGCGCAGAACTCAGCAGGAAGGGCGGCGCGGTAGCGAGTGTCACTAGTGCGGAGGTGCGTAATGAGGTCAGCGACAGTGGGAAAGGCAGAGAGGTCAGGAAAGAGGTAGGGAAGCATGAGACGGCTCAGTGCAGCAGTGGCAGGGGAGGAGTAGCGCGCAACTACAGCGTCGTACAAGGTCTGAGCACTCTTGTACTGACTGAAGTGCGCACGCTCAGAGGTAGGGAGGTGGCGACGCACAGCAAGACGTGCAGCAGCATCGCGGGTGGCCCACTTAGAGCGGACAGCGGGATCAGCATCAGCAGCAGGAGCAGGAGAGGCGCCAGAGGTGAGATCAAAGAGAGAAAGGTCGTCAGCCCTGTCGCACTGTAAGAACAGCTGCAGGTCGTCTAACCAGACCTCAAAATCAATGGCGCGACCCTCAGCGTCAAAAGCTAGGACACTAGGGGTAGCCATGGCGACGACAGCAACGCAGTGCAAGCAGCAGGGAAAGAGCTCGCAGTGTCAGTGGGACTGTGCTCACCAGGCAGGGCAGGTCGTGTAGGTATGCAGAAAGGCGGCTCAGCGACTTGGCGGCTCGGGTGCTGGGCGGCTCGGCTGCTGGGCGGCTCGGGCGCAGGGCGGCTCGGCTCCCGGGCGGCTCGACGGCTGGGCGGTTCGGGTGCAGGGCGGGTCAGGCGCAGGGTCGGCTGCGGCTGGGCGGCTCGGCTGCTGCTGGGCGGCTCGGCGGCTCCTGGGCGGCTCGGCTGCTCCCGGGCGGCTCGGCGGCTCCGGGCGGCTCGGTTGCTCCGGGCGGCTCGGCTGCTGCTGGGGCCGTGTAGGTAGGGCGGCTGGGCCGCGAAGGTAGGGCGGCGGGCGGGCCGCTGATAGGGCGGCAGGTGGGCCGCAGGTAGGGCGGCGGCTGGCCGCAAGTAGGGCGGCGAAGGGCCGCGGGTAGGGCGGCGAAGGGCCGCGGGTAGGGCGGCGGGTGGGCCGCAGATGAGGCGGCGTAGGGCCGCAGGTAGGGCGGCGGGACGGCCGCTGGTAGGGCGGTGGTCGGGCCGCAGAAAGGCGGCGGGGCCGCGAAGGGATGGCGGGGCCGCGTCGAAGTGGCGGGGCCGCGACTGGGCGGCGGGGCCGCGACGAAGTGGCGGGGCCGCGACTGGGCGGTGGGGCCGCGATCAGAACGGGCGGCGGGGCCGCGACTGGGCGGCGGGGCCGCGACTGGGTGGCGGGGCCGCGACTGAGTGGCGGGGCCGCGCGAGGGGGTGGCGGGGCCGCGTCTGAAGGGCGGCGGGGCCGCAAGGGGACAGGGCGACTCGGAGGGTCGCAAAAAAAAGGAATCGCGCGCCTCGGGGCGCGCTTCGGTGGGCCCTAGGCGAAGTTCCCACAGGGAACCTGCTCTATACCATGTGAAACTGAAGAACAGGAATGAATGACTAAGGAAAGATTGGGTACAAATACAACCCTAGAAACCCCGTACCCCATATGTGCTACCCCACTATAGCCTACAGCAACTATGTCATATAAATCTGACAGTAGTTAAGCAAAATGCTTCGCAACCCTAACACAATTTCGTCGCCTCTTGTTTTTTTTTTGCCGTGCGTTTTCCAACTTTCCAAATTTGTGACACGTGGGTGAATGTGGGACCGAGTTCTGTGTTGTTGCCATAACTTTCCTGTCGGAGTGGCGGAGGGGCGGAAAGTGCCCGCAACTAGCACTGTAGTCCCCTTGAAAGTGCAGGGTCGCTAGTGGTACCCCTGCGAAAGCTACTAACCCAAAAAATGTCAGTGCAAAAAACAGTTCCTTCGATCTGCGCTCCTAGCGTTAAGTGACAGTAACAATGCGCGTTCAACTGAAAACCCTTCGAAAATGCTTGGTGATTCTGACTTAGAAAACTGTTGACTGAGGACGCGCAACTGATTCCATTTCTGTACAGTACACGTAGATTGGGGGAGTGGTTCATTCACTGCTGGCTCGTCTGGGTTTCTGTATAAACGTAGGTGTAGTGTAGACTTGGAATGCGACATTTCACTTCATCATTCGTACTCACCCAAATCATTGCATACAACATGCTATTCCCCGCCTTCATTAAGGGTATATTCCTGGCACCTGTCACAGGAGATATAGTGCAGTGCAAAAATAAAATCGCATGTGTAATAGTTTCCGCAGCGACACACTGCTTGTGTGACGCCTCTCACCAGGAATGTACCCTAAGATACACACCCTTCGCTCTAAAGTGGGAACCCAGTGGAAGGGTTGACCCAAGAGCCCTCAAGTGAGCGTGATACAATGTGGGGGCCGGGGCCTGGGCGGGTGAGCAGAATGTACTTGAGGGGTGGGGAGAAGCCGCCTGATGCCGTGCTTGCTTCTGATGGTGATGGTTGTGGTGGTGGTTGTGCGTGGGGAAGCGCTTCCACGGAGACAAGAGAGGTGTCGCCGGTGAGATAGCTGCACACAGGGAGAGAGTCAGTGAGGGTTGGTGGGACGAGGAGGGGTGTGAGGTGGATGGGCGGGACGAGGGGTGTGAGATGGATGGGACATGGTTCCTGGGATGAATAGACAAGAGGATGGGGATAAACGAGGATGGGGCAAGTGGAGATACACGATCAGGTGAAGAGGGGATAGTTGTAGAGGGTGGTGGTGCCAGGTGGGGGATAGGAAGTCGGAGTGGGGAGTGGTGGTGCACGGAGCGAAGTGGTGATTACGTAGAAATCATAGAGGCGGGGATGGGGTGGGGGGAAGGAATACCTGGAGAGTGGGATGCTGCCGGGTGGGGGAAAGCGTTGCAGGAAGGCGGAGAGGAAGTGCGTGGCGTTGTGGCGCTCCACAAACATGACCGCGTTGGGCCCCGCGTCAAATGTGTACGCTGCCTGCCGTTGGGGAGAGGAGAGGAGCAAAGAGCAGAGCGCGGAATGATGAGATGGGTGCTTCACAGAAACGAAACCACTGGGTCGAGTTTTGAGGCGCCTCAAAAGTCGAGACCAGATTGCTATGCTGCCTGGTGTGGTGGGTGCAGAGGAAGAGTGAGGTGTTGGTTTGCGGGGAGGAGCAGAGACACTAAGTACTTGGCAGAACAAGTGAGCAGCACTTGCCCCCCTTCACTCTGCTGATTCCCTTCACAACGCCCATCCTCAAGCCCCCTGCACCCCTTCTCCACCCACCTGCAACCCCTCTTCAACCCCCTGCAACCCCTCTTCAACCCCCTGCATCCCCTCTCCACCGTCGCCACTTCACTGTTCCCCCTGCACCCCCTGCTGCTCTGCCTGAGCATTGAAGTCCTCCACGAAGCCAATCACGCGACGCAACGTGGTGCTGAGATGGAAGGTGGCAAATGCGTGCATGCAATCACCCACTCACCCACTCACGCTTGCATCTTCCCCACACTCACATGTTGCCAGCACTCACCCACCCGCTCACCCTTACCCCTCGACCCCCTCGCACCGTACCAATTGACCCCCCTCCATCCCCCCCTGTGCACCCTTGGCTGCTCTGCCCGTGCGTTGCACTCCTCCACGAAGCCAATCACGCGGCGAGACATGGCGTTGCCAGTCGCGACACTCATCCACTGAGCTCACTCTTACCCCTCGCACAGTACCCATTCACCCCTCTGCATCCGTCTGCATCCCCCCCTGTGCACGCACCCTGGGCTGCTCCCCAGCATTGCACTCCTCCGTTGAAGCCGATCACACGGTGCGACATGGAGTTGAGATAGAGGATTGCAAGTGCACAAATTCAGGTTCTCACCTCATTCACCCTTACCCTTACATCCCCCCTGCACCCTCCTGCACACCCTTGCACGCACCCTCGGCTGCTCTCCCTGTGCGTTGAACTCCTCCACGAAGCCAATCACACAGCCCGGCGTTGCACCCCCCTGCACCCACCCTCCATCACCCTCCACCCCCCTGCACCCAACCTCCATCACCCCCCACCCCCCTGCACCCAACCTTCATCACCCTCCACCCCCCTGCACCCCTCTGCACGCACCCTTGGCTGCTCCCCCTGCGCATTAAACTCCTCCACGAAGCCAATCACGCGGCGCGACGTGGCATTGAGGTAGAAGATGGGCGGCGCCGTGTCGAGGCACGTGGCGTGGAACTGGTTGCTGTCCGCACAGGTCAGCCGTGCAAATGAGGGGAAGTCGCGCGCTGCTATGGCTGCCTCCATTGCTGTGATTCGCTCTGGTACCACATGCTGTAGGGAGGGAGGGAAAGGGAGAGAGGGAAGGGCAAGGGGAAGGAGGCTGGAAGAATGAAGGCGTGGCATGGAATTGGTTGCTGTTGGCACAGGTCAGGCGGGCAAATGAGGGGAAGTCGCGAGCAGCTATGGCTGCCTCCATTGCTGTGATTCGCTCTGGTACCACATGCTGGGTGAGGGGCAAGTGGGGTGGGGAAAGAAGGGGCAGGGAGGCACGTCAAGGGGCAGGGAGGCACGTCAAGGGGGCAAAGGCACGTCAAGGGGGGAGGCACGTCAAGGGGGCAAAGGCACGTCAAAGGGGCAAAGGCCCAGAAGTTGCAGGGTGCTATGGCTGCCTGCATTTCCTAAATGAATGAAAGTACGAATGAAGGCAAGGCCAGGCCGTGAAACTGGTTGCTGTCCACGCAGGGCAGGCGGGCAAATGCTGCAAAATCCCAGGCTGCAATGGCTGCCTGCATTGCTGTGCACTCAGCAGCACTCGGACCAAACACGTGCGCCCGTCACGCGGGGGCCCCCCATGGGTTTCTGCTTTCATCCGACCCCCACCCGTGGCCTTCAGTTTACCCCCACCATCCGCCCCGTGGCTGCAGCAGCTTGGAGGTCTGGGCGGACCGTTATATGCCCTCCCCACCCCATCCAAGTTCTTCGTTTGCCCCACCCTTGCTCGTCAACTGCTCCCACCCACCCGTGCTCTTCATTTGCCCCTCACCTCAGCGCGCAGCTGCAGCAGCTTGGAGGTCTGGGCGGACCGTTTCATGCCCTCGCTGCTGCCAATGTCCTTCTCCCTCTCCTCCACCTGTGCATGTGGGGAGATGCAGGAGAGGAGGGGGGAGAGGGGGGGTACAGGAGGGGAGGAGGGGGGTGCGGGAAAAAGGGGCTGCCAGTTGACCCCTCAACTGCAGCAGCTTGGAGGTCTGGGCAGACCGTTTCATGCCCTCGCTGCTGCTGCCAATGTTCCCTCTCCTCCACCTGTGCATGTGGGAACAGGAGGAGGGGGAAGGGGAAAAGGGGGAGGGGGAAGGTCAGGGCAACAGCTGAGCGCAGAGGCAGAGCATCAAAGTACAACAACGTGGAAAGCAAAGCGCAGGAGAGGACCGTAGAGCACATCGGCCCTACCATTCCACCACCATTTTCACCTGCACAGTGGCGCACACTCTCCCTCCCTCTCACCACACCAATAACAGTGACCAGATCGCTCCAGTGGTCTATGGTCCTGTGCCTTGAGAGCACTCTCCGCCTTTTAGAGGCGACTTCGAGCACTTTTTCGAGTCAACTCGCTACATTTTCCGCCTCTCCGCCTCCGGGAACTTTTTTGAGTCGACTTTTCGAGGCGACTCCGAGCACGTTTTCGAGCTCGCTAAATTTTCAAGTCGACTCACAACAGACAGACATGCCCTCCCCGTCACACCCCTTCCCCCCTCCCCCTAGTGTGTGCCCTCCCACTCACCACTGCAATGATGATGACCAGGTCGCTCCAGTGGTCCTCTGCCTTGACTTGCCGCGCCATGCTGTCGCTCCCGTCTTCTAGCTGGCGGTGGGAGAGGAGAGGAGACGCACACACACGAGGCATGAGGCATGAGGCATGAGGCATGAGGCATGAGGCATGCGGCATGAGGCATGCGGCATGAGGCATGCGGCATGAGGCACAATGGAATCGAAAGAGATGCTGATTGCCAGGTATTCTACACGTTTTGCACTTCTGAGAACTCGCAAAAGTGAGCCTGGTTTTCAAATGACTGAACACAATGCCAGATCCTCAAACTTAATCCAACACAGTGCAAGATATTGTGAACTATTTCACCACTATGAGCCAACTCTGGTTTGGGAGCGGCCATGGCTGCAGGTGGCGATACGTGTGAAACGGGAATGGAGGAAACGAGGGAGAGGGAGGCAGGGGATGGAATGAGAAAGATTAGGGGGAGCAGCGTAAGGAGGCGGAGTACGTGGTGTGGTGAGGTCAAGCAAACCCGGCACGCTTTCACCCAGAGACAGCTTCACCTCACCTCGCCCTCATCATCCCATCTCCCATGATTGTCTTACCTCGCCCTTGTCCCACGTGACAAATCCGCCGTACAGGCTCCTGCACGCGCTGCCAGATCCCATCCTGGTGGCATTCGGAGGAGGGAGGACGGGGAGGGGGACGGGAGGAATGGGAAGGTGGGAGCAATGGCGTTTACATAAGGTATGGGCCAATCACACAATTTGTGCAATGCATGAGAAACCCAGTTTAGGCACACGTGGGCTGCGATCCCCCATGAGCAGATTTGTTTGCAAGGTGCTTAAAACACACGAGCAGCATTTGCTGTAACGAGGCCTCCTTTCCACCAAGCGGCACTCTAACGAGGCCTATGATTAAAACTGCGTGCCAATGCTTCTCCTGTCAGCCCGTCAATGCTCCTGCCGTACCTGCCATGGCTCCTGCCGTACCTGGCAACTCATCTGCCGTACCTGGCAACTCATCTGCCGTACCTGGCAACTCATCTGCCGTACCTGGCGATGGCTGAGAGCTCCCCCGGGTATGCCTCCTTCACTCCCATGAGCTCTGCCAGGGCGAACACTGTGACGCATGCATGCATGCACGCACACACAGGCATGCAGGATGGCACATGGGGCACAGCCGCACAGGGCATGGAGCATGGGGCAGGCACAAGGGATGTGAGGGCGGAGCAAAGGAGGACAGCATGGCATGGCAGGACGGGGGTGATCACGGAGCAATACTTTTGCAAGTGGGGTGGGGCGCATCCAGAGAATTGGACACAGCATGCATACATGCAAGCCGAATCTCCTCTTGCCAAACCTCGCTCCCCAATCTCCACTTCACTCTCGAATCCCTCGCCGCGTCTCAAATCCCACTCTTCAAAGTTCAAACGCCAACTTCCCAACTCAATCCCAGCATCCCAATCTCCCGATCCCAAACCCTCCTCCCCAAACCCCAACCCTCAAACAGGTTTCGAAGTTTAAAAGTTCCAACATCCAACCTTTTGCGAACAATCGAAACTGCAACCACATCCTGTCTTCCCTCACTGATAAGTGGCGCTCCAGTCCCTGTACGTATCCCAAACTCCCAACTAAAACCCCGAACCCCGACCCCCAAACCCTACTCCATCAACTTTGTCCCACCCAGCAGCAGCATTGGCGACATCAGGAGGAGTTTAGAAGGGGGGAAGGAAGGGAGGAAGGGAGGAAGAAACAAGAGACTCACCGAGGCATGCAAAGCCAGCAGCGGAGGAGGCGAGGCCAGCAGCGGTGGGGAAGTTGTTAGCCGACACCACGTGCACCCGCAGCTGCTGCCACTGCCCCGCTCCTATCTCCACCTCCTCCTGCTCGCCCCCTCCCTGCCCGCCCTGCTGTGTGGTCCCTGGAGCGGGCAGGCGCCAGTGCGTGGAGGAGGCGCGTGCACGCAGGGCAGCCAGGCAGTTGCTGTAGCGGTGGCTGCTCATCGCCACCTCCTGATGCCGTGGCGAGTGGGTATGGGGGAGTGAGTGGGAAACTGTTGAGTCTTGAGTCGACAAACAGTCTGTCACCTTGTTCTGGGTCGACTCAGAAGCAGTTGCCGTAGCGGTGGCTGCTCATCGCCACCTCCTGATGCCGGGGCGAGTGGGTATGGGGGAGTGTGGGGTATTGTTGAGTTTTTGGTCTGACTCAACAGCCACCTCGAACCGGCCAGACTCAATGCAATGCATATTGCACAGGAATGCAATTCAGTGCAAAGGATGCTGCATTGGAGCGCGTGTTGTGGCATGTTGTCAGTGTGCTGCAACGTTCAGATGGATTATCGGGTTCAGGGTTCGCACCCGGTGGTTATCACACTAGCCACATCAGGTGGTTATCACACCAGCCACATCAGGTGGTTACCACACCAGCCACATTGCCAGTTGCGTTATCAGGTATGCTACAGCATCAGCCTACCAGGTACGACCTGTACGGGAACGCACCTTGCCATGAACAGGTACGACCTGTACGGGAACGCACCTTGCCATGAACAGGTACGACCTGCACGGAACGCACCTTGCCATGAACAGGTACGACCTGCACGGAACGCACCTTGCCGTTGAGCCAGAGCCGGTCCGCAGTGAACGACGGGCTGACGGCGACGGTGGTTTCGGCGGCTAGCTGGTCCACGTGGAGCGTCACGCTCACGCTGCCATTAAGCGGCAGCACAAGCGCCTCGTCGCGCTTTCCCCAGTACTTAATCACCGCGATGTTGCTCGGCGCGCGCGCCGTCACTCCCACCACCCACGGCGCCGCCTCGCACGGCGCTTCGGCGGACGACGACATGACGCTGCTGACGCTGACGCTCTCGTTTATGTCACGCGGGCTACACAGTCACAGTTGAGGACTCGCTGTAGTCACTTTTTGCAGCTCACACAGTCACGGCTACTTTGTAAACAAAGAAAAAGGGGAGCCGAAGCCCGCGAATGGAGTTAAGCGTCAGAATGCAATGATAATGCTGCGATAATCCCTAACGATAATAATGAGCCGCTCTGCAACGAAGAATTGGAGACTAATGGAACTTGGCTCGTAGCGACGGTCGGCTCAGATCACTGATCTGTCTGACTAACGATAACAAGCAGTGGTGGTGTCGATAAAATAATGCGGTGACACGTCAATCCCTCCTACGCAGCCAAGAGCTTAATTCAGAAACAGCGCGAGACGCGACTGAAGGTAGCTCGATCAGCAAAACGAAACTCTGAATTGAAGAGAGATGAATTTCAATTTAGTTCTCATGAAAAAATGCTCGAGAACTCACTCGCAAGGATCGCGATGCGTGGCACTCGGTGCGACGAGCCTGGCTGATTCTCATCCTCATCCGCGCACTACACACGCGAGAGCTCTCCCGGTCCACATGTTTCAGCGAACAACGCGGTGGGAACCGGCAAGCTAGGCGACAGAAGGAGCAACAACAGCCGCAATAGCTAGCAACGGTTGTCACCGACGAGCGTACCTAGGGAATTCAGCGGCCAGACCAGTCGTGAACTGGAAGAGACGAGAAAATGGGAGAAATGGCTCTGGCTGGGTTGGGATGGGAGCATCAAACATTGCAACGAAGTAAACCGAACGGTTTTTGCGAGAGTAACTCGATTGCGACGAAGAAGCGCGTGCAGTCCAGTCAAATGTGTAGTGTCGGTTGCTGTGTTTCCTTCCTCCCACCGAAGCCAACCGAATCGAGAGAATTTCTCCAGTGGCCAATCGGGTGATTCGTCCTCTCTCGGGGGGCCTCGATTTACTCGAGTGGCCACGAAATTGGGTGATAATTACTCGAGTGGCCACGCCAGGGGATTCCTGCTCGCTTTTTTTTCACCGGCGAATTACCCTACGGGGATTTGTAGCCCTGAAATTCCTTATTCGTGCGAGTGGTATCCCTAGGTAGTGTTCCGTTCTGTTCCGCAACTTAAAATTTCGCCAGGCTCACGGACGCGAAAGTGGCCCGCCCACTGTACAAGAAACCGACCAACAGTACATTGACCGGTCAATTTCGGCCAAATGCACGACCAATGAGCGCGCGGTCCATCTAGTTAACATCCAATCAGCGATCGAGCATATGACTTCGCGATCATATACTGCATTTCACCCGAAACGAACCGAAACAGCAAAACGACCGCGCTCGATTGGTCAGGAGATTGAGTGGTGCATTTGTTGCCACTGCGCGTCTAATCAGGCGCAAGATTTACGGATTGCCGATCATATTTGAACGCGTTCATTAAACACAATTTACTATATGATCGCGCCAATCATATACTAAATAGTCTCGCACAAAAGGTTCGAATGAACGCGCTCAAACTGGTTTGGTATGCCCTTTTCAACTTCCCGCGCTTTATCATTTGATCCATATGCTACAGATTGCTCACACCATTTCCTCTCGTCGTTTTAGGGTTCACATCCACCTTAGCCCTTGATTAGACCAGTTAGGTCCTTAAAGGAGGTTCATCTGGGAGGTCCTACGGTTAGAACATTCATATTAACCGCAATGAGTTCGACGTCTTATACTTGTAACACAGAGTCCGACTCAGGCAATAAGGACACAGAGTTTTGCTTCGTTGGAACCGGAGAGCCCAAACAAAGTGATATGTACCGTGCGTTGCTGCGGGAAATGGTCGTCGACGATGAGAAAAGTTGAACGAGAATGCATGAACTATGAATGAAGTGGGTACAAGTACTAACCCTAATTGGGTTGTACCCCCTATAGAATACCCCACTACAGCCTACACAAATGTATAAGCTATATAATGTTCTGACACACCCCCATAGGCAAAGTGGGGGAGAACAAGGGGTCACAAGACCAGTCAAGCAAAGCAAAGCAAAGCAAGCTCAGGGTGGATCACAAAGTCACCACACAGTCCGAGCACAAGGTCAAAGCCACAAGGCCAGTTCACATGCATGAGTGCACATATATATAACACTAAACAAGCAAGAGTAGGTATATATATATATGCAAGAGTACAAGAAGATCAAGAGGTGAGCAAGTTAGGTAAGACAGGTACAAGTCCCAGCTGAGTGCAGAAGCGCTGATGATCACAACGCGGAAGTGCCTTGGTGAAAACATCAGCAGTGTTGGCCTCAGAGGCCACGTACGCAAGTCGCAACTGACCACGCTGCTGCAGCTCACGAGCAAGAAAGTAGCGGACAGCAATGTGCTTCGTTCTGTGCTCCAGGCGCTCCTCTCGACACAAGGCCAGCATGGCCTTGTTGTCTACGTACAGCACTGGAGGAGAACGAGGCGGCTCTCCAAGGTCAGTCAGCAGGTAGGTGAGCCAGCGAAGCTCCTGAGCAGCCATGGCCCCGGCGTAGATCTCAGCCTCACAACTGGAGCCGAGAACAGAAGACGAGCGAGTAGCCCGCCACGAAACAGAGCCGGAACCAAGACTGAAGGTGTAACCCTGTGACGACCGCTGAGTAGCCTGGTCGTCAGCCCAAGAAGCGTCCGCGTGCCCAGTGAGGACCACTGGACTCCGCCCTCCAAGCACTAGCCCCATGCCCGACGTACTGCACAGGTACCGCAACACCCTCTTCGCTGCAGCCATGTGCTCTGGTCGGTGTCTCCTAGGAGCAACATAGCGTGCAAGAATGCTAAGAGGGTATGCAAGGTCAGGTCGTGTGCAGGTCATCAGGTACATGAGGCAGCCAACAAGCTCTGGGTACGGGCCACTCGACTCTACGGACTCATCCGAAGGCAGAGCTGAGAGCGAGTGGCGAGTAGACAGAGGAGTGGCCTGAGGCGAGGAGTACGTGAAGCCGAAGCGCTGAAGGACCTGCAGCACCATGTGTGACTGAGTCAAGGTAATGGTGCGTCGTGCTCTGTCCCGAGTGACTGCAAGCCAAGGTAGCTGCGCAGTTCACCCAGGTCTGTGCACGTGTGTCTCTTCTGCAGCTCAGACTTCACGTAGGCGAGTCCAGCAGTGTCCGCTGTGGCAAAGACCAAGTCGTCAACGTACACGAGGATGTAGAACGGCGGCAGAGAAGTGTCGGTGCGCAGAAACAACGACGGGTCAGCAGTAGAGGGAGCAAACCCAAGAGCCGCAAGCGTAGTCCTCAGTGTGTCGTGCCACTCACGCGGTGCCTGGCGGAGACCGTAGACTGGCCGTCGGAGGCTCCACTGGGTGCCAGGAGGGAAAGTCCCAGTGAAGCCAGGTGGACGGCGCAGCCAGATCTCCTCGTGCAGGCTACCCTGCAAGAAAGCAGTGCTGAAGTCAAGAGAGTGGAGCTCGTAGTCGCGCTGAGCGGCTATGTGCAGCAGCACCCGAAGAGTGGTCATCTTCGGGGTGGGAGAGAAGGTCTGAAAGTAGTCAACTCCTTGCCGCTGACTGAAGCCACGAGCCACGTACCGCGCCTTGAAGACAGGTGGAGAGCCCGGCGGCCGCTTCACCTTGAAGATCCACATGCCACTGACGATGTTCGCCCCAGGAGGGGGAACCGCGTCAACGTAGGTGCCTGTGGACTTCCAGGAAGCCATCTCTGCATCCATAGCTGCCTGCCACTGAGAGGAGTAGGGACCCTCTACGGCCTCCGCGTAAGAGCGCGGAGTCGGGATGTCCAGTGCATCCGGGTCTCCCACAGGGGCAAGTACTACGGACGCGAGATGAGGTGAAGCAGCAGCCAGACACTGGAACTCCTCCTGCCTCTCCTCAAGGACGTCCGTGCTAAGAGCACACTCACCCCCGACGGACGGAGGACAGACAGACACAGACTCAGCAACAAGACTGGCAGCGTAGTCTAGACGACAGCGAGCAGCAAAGGCGACGAGCTCAGCAACAAGCGCAGACGCAGCAGTGGACTCAAAAGAGGGGTCAGTGACGACAGTAGCAAGGAGACGCATGACAGTAGGACTGGCAGCACGAAGAGAGTCCGACTCAGGGTCGGCAAGCGCAGGAAGAGAGGACTCAGGAGGAGAGGGCAAAGGGGCACGCAGAGGAGCAGTGGACGGACGCAGAGACATCCGGTGCGTGCCAGGGACAGGAGGAGGACGCTGACGCGAACTGCGACCACTAGTGCGAGCAGCACGAACAGGCGACGCAGGACGGGACGCGGGCTCACGACGCTCAGCAAGACCTCTAGTAGGACCAGTGTACGGAGAAGGAGAAGGCAGTGGGGAGGCCGGCGGTAACTGTGACTGTGACTGGACTGGCGGCGGACACTCTACAGGAGGAGAAAGACCAAGAACCTGCTGCAGGAGCGGAACGAAGTACGGCCGAGGCCGCGCGGCAACTCTAGACACAGCAGGGACAGCACCAGCACCCTCAGCGGCAGCACTAGCGCCAACAGCACCTCCAGCGGCAGAACCTCCAGCAGCACCAGCAGCACCCGTAGTAGGACCACCGCCAGGAAGGACAGCAGCAGTCTGAGCACCAACACCCTCAGTAGCTCCAGCGCCAGGCAGAGCCGAAGAAGCTCCAGCTCCAGCAGTACGCCTCCAGCGGCGAGCAAACCACTCACGCAGCTCCTGTGGAGAGAGTGGCTCCCGCCGAGACGAAGCACCCGGAGAGCCTCCAGGCCCCGCACCGCCAGACGCCAGGGGGAGAGGTCCAGTGGCCGCAGGCTCCGCAACTCCAGGCTCAGCAGCACCCCCTGGCTTAGCAGCTCCTGACGTAGCACCCCCAGGCTCAGCAGCCCCAGTCGCAGCACCCCCAGGCTCAGCAACCCCAGTCGCAGCACCCCCAGGCTCAGCACCCCCAGGCTCAGCACCCCCAGTCGCAGTACCCCCAGAGTCAGCACCCCCAGGCTCAGCACCCGCAGCAGTACCAGAGTCACCAGCAACCTCGACCGGCTCGACTGCGTCTACC